CTGAGTTCTATAATTCATTTTGTACTTACTTTACTGTTATGTCGCTATTCTTATTCAGCACAAAGAGTGGGTCAATTGTGTCACGTTATAGGAGCTATCACAATCTCAACGACAATTTGTAAAGACATAATTAATTAGTTGAACATATTTAAATAGCTGCTATTTCGTCTTAAGCCGACCACCACAACCAATCGCGTATCGCTCTTATTATTGCGTATCGATCTAATTATTGCGTATCGATCTGATTAGTGCGTATCGATCTGATTAGTGCGTATCGATCTGATTAGTGCGTATTGATCTGATTATTGCGTATCGATCTGATTATTGCGTATAGATCTGATTATTGCGTATCGATCTGATTATTGCGTATCGACCTGATTATTGCGTATCGATCTGATTATTGCGTATCGATCTGATTATTGTGTATCGATCTAATTATTGCGTATCGATCTGATTAGTGCGTATCGATCTGATTAGTGCGTATCGATCTGATTAGTGCGTATTGATCTGATTAGTGCGTATCGTTCTGATTAGTGAGTATCGATCTGATTAGTGCGTATCGATCTGATTAGTGCAATGCCGTTTATGTTAAAAAAATAAGATAAAAAAAACACCACCCGCATGCATATTATCATTTTATATTTCTCATGAAGAATATAAAGAAATTTTCAAGCACATGTAGTAATGATTTCGCCAGATTGGTCGTTTTTTCTTTTCGTTTTTTTTTTTTTGGTTTTTTTTTTTCGTTTTTTCAGACCCCTCCGCTGGTTCAACTGTGTTTAAATATATCTCGGGTGGGTGGGTTTTTGACGGGGGCGTGTCTGTCTATTCTGCTGATAACTTGAATATATCAGCTCTGTTCTCCAGTATGACGGTAGTGATAACATTTCAAATATTTTGGCTGGATAAAATATAAAATGTACTGGCTCTAGTATAATATATAATCTATTTTTGTACTAAAATTAACATTGAGATTTAAATGTGTTTAAGTTGCTCAAACTGCAGAAAACAGTATCAACGGTCCTGTATGTTCCCCGGGCGTCGACTATTTGTGTGCTGAAAAACAAGTTTCACCAGAGATAATAATTTGATAATTTGCTAACCTGTTGATACGTTGAGTTAGGTTAAGTGTGGGGTTTATAGTTATTTCATGGGTTAGTGATATGTCTCTATTGTGGGCTTCAGATGTAGCCATTTTATGGGTTAGTGATATGCCTATGATAATTTCAACTTCTCAGTTGTTGTAAGGTAAGGCTTACTGTGTAGTAGTTCTTTGTACAAGTTACTCGAGCAGTTAGGATATCTATGAGAAAAATTTAGACAGACGATTGGACTGTTTTCACTCTGGATAATACACGCTTCAACTGGCAGAAATGTGAAAATAATATTATCGCCCATTATAGCGCAGTTGTCGGGTCAAAAGGTAACAGCCGTCTTCTCAACGTCAGAGGGTGGGTGAGTACCCGGTGCATGAGAATGTAAACACAAGCACCAGTGTTTACACCATACCGAGGCTCGCCTTGTCACGTGGTCACGTGTGTATATAGCTCAAGTTTAAACACGGTCGGTCTAAAGATAAGATTCATTCTGCCAGCCCTGTTTACTGTGAGAGTTTACGTTTGATGAAGATTTTCTTTTAATCGTTAGCTCTGAGGCATTGTTGCAAAATAAACTCTTGACTTGGGGAGTTTAAATTAAGATGATTTTGTTTTGTTGTTTTTTAAAATATTTTTTATCGTGAATTATTTGAAAGAAAGTCAGGGATTTAGGTAGTTGACTATTGAGTAATAAATCTACCCAGGTGAGAGAGTATTTGGTCAATTCCCTGCTTAGTTAGTTAATATAACAAGCAAAATCACACAACTAAAGGAATGCAACATGACGTCCAGTTATGTACACAAACATACGGAGAGTATCATCTAAAGCAGGGGTCTCCAAACTTTTCGGTCCGAGGGCCGCATTAAATATTAAATAGCAGTTCGGCGGCCGAATCAAAACATTCATTTTGTTTTTAATTATTAATTAATTAATATTTTTTAATCGGTTATTATTTAATAACAAATTGCTACACTACACATGAAAGCATTTAATTGTATTAGTAGAATAGTGACATTGTTTCCTGGATTTCAGTGACCTGAAATTATCATCGGACACGTTTGTTCTCAAATGGTTCTTCACGTATTTCATTCTTCAAAGTTTGCTCACACGAGTATGTTGCTAAAATAATTGAAAGGTACCTTGATGCAAAAGTTTTGGCATTAGGGAAGTCTTCCTTTGGCAAAAAAATTGTAAAAACCCAACAGTCCTTCTTTGAACTTGTCCCCAAAGAGGTCATTTACATGCAACTCAATGACCTCAAGCTGCAGTTCATCTGGGCAACTGGCTACATTTGCTTCAAGTGGGTTTTGAAACAGTCTCACCTCCTAACTTTGAATCCAAGTCAGAAAAAATCGCTGCTAAAACTGCAGCTGGAGTCTTTGATGACCTCGCATGCAAATGACGTTGGAAACTCAGCTGTTGCTTCAACTATGAAGACCTTGCACTGTTGAATGTGAGTCCAGTTGTTGGCCTGTACTTGTTCCAAGTACATGACAAGTTTGGATCTGAAGGCCTGTAGGTAGGTGTATAGATCAGAAACCAGATATTCCTTTCCTTGTAGTTTTAAATTTTTCCTCCAGTCTGACAACTGAGGTTAGTCCAGCCCAAGTTATAACCAGCACATTTTTTTTTCAACTCATTGAATATATAATCTCCGGTAACAGTAACATACATGTTATGTAGGGAAGCCAGCTCTTGTGTTATGTTTATGTCTCCACCCACACCTCTAATGAACACAAGCAGTTGAGAGGTGGAGCAGCTTTCTAGCGACTCATCCATAGCAATTGAAAAAAACGGTAGTTGCACCCAAAGCTACATTTTCAAATTGTTTTGAATTTTCTGTGCAAAGTTCCTCAGCCACCTCCAACAAACTTTTAGCAATAATGTTTTGCGCTGTAATGGTCGTCTGGGAAGCATAACGCACTACTACGTGCCTCAATTTTAATTCGGTAAAAACATAACGTCCACGTAAGCGGCGGCTGATCTTTGCAGGATACTCGTACATTTCCATAATTTTTATCCGTAGACAAAATTATCTCCACGGGCCGGATGAGAGGGTCACACGGGCCGCATATGGCCCGCGGGCCGCAGTTTAGAGACCCCTGAATCAAAAGCAATGACGTAAACATGACGTCCAGTTATGTACACAAACACACGGAGAGCATTATTAAAAGCAAATTAACGTTAACAATACGGAAACAGCAACTTGCCAATGATTTTGACCACAGCTTTGCCTCCTCTCTCCTCGTCCTTGATTCTTCTGGCTACATCTGCTGCCTTTAACAAAAAGCAAAAAAAAACAACAACATTTACTTAAGCTTATTGTAAAGTCCAAAGTTGTTTATTAATATTAAAATAAAAACTAATTAATTTCTAATGTATTCAGATTAAAAAACACGCTACGCGATTGCGTTTTGTAATAAATAAATAAGTAAATAAATAAAATAACAAACAAGCAAAATAAATAAATTTAAAATAAAATAAAATAAAATAAAATAAAAAAAAATAAAATAAAATAAAATAAAATAAAATAAAATAAAATAAAAAAAAAAAAAATAAAAAAAAAAAATAAAATAAAAATAAAATAAAATAAAATAAAATAAAATAAAATAAAGTAAAATAAATTTAAAATAAAATAAAATAAAATAAAATAAAATAAAATAAATAAATAAAAATAAATAAATAAATATACATACGAAAATACACACACACACACACACACATATATATATATATATGTGTGTGTGTGTGTGTGTGTTTGTTTGTGTGTGTCTGGTTATGCTTGAGAGGAAGTTAAACATGTAGATATTTATGTTAAGTTTATGTTTGATGATGAATGTTATTTCTAAGAAAACTCAAATCATACTCTTTATCTTGAACTCTAACGTTAAAGCATTCCTCCTTAACGGATCCGAGACAAGGGGAACAACAAAGTTAAACAACTTAAAGAATCCAGACCTTTAAAAGTAGATGCTGGCGGAATGTATTTGATAAAGAGTCTCAGATAAAATGCATAACTGGGAGATTTATGGAAAGGAAATAATAGAAAGGCAAGGACAAAAAAGGAAAATTGATGAGGATGATGATTATTGAAAGGGTTAAGCTAACGTACATTTTTATCATCAACTGACCAAGAACAGGTTACACTTTATTTATTTATTTTAAATCTACATTTATTACACTTTATTCATTCATTTTTAATCTACATTTATTACACTTTATACATTCTTTTAAAAATCTACATTTATTACACTTTATACATTCTTTTAAAAATCTACATTTATTACACTTTATACATTTATTTTTAATCTACATTTATTACACTTTATACTTTCATTTTAAATCTACATTTATTACACTTTATACATTTATTTTAAATCTACATTTATTACACTTTATACATTTATTTTTAATCTACATTTATTACACTTTATACTTTCATTTTAAATCTACATTTATTACACTTTATACTTTCATTTTGAATCTACATTTATTACACTTGATACATTAATTCGTAATCTACTTTTGATCAAAAAGGGATATACATTAATATTCCTTATATATTTTATAAAAAAAAGAGCAGTTATGTCTAATCTATATTTGATCAAGAAAGGGTTAAATTGCTAAAATGTTTGTACATTTTATATTTTCAATCAATACTTGGCCAAGAGGGTTAATCCACGAATATTTCTACTATGACGACTTGCAGCATTACCTACCTTGTGCCGCTCCATTTTACTGCTGGTTGGGCCATTCCAGACAAATATGACCAGGCCACAGTCCAAAATAAACACATCTCCTTGGTTGAGTGAACTCACATCACACTTGACCTGTCATGGTTCAATCTTCAATGTCAGCAGATTGGTTTTTAAAGTAAATCATGAGATCAGTACGCTTTACAGAGAACAGGGCGCTTTACAGAGACCAGTACACTCTACAGCAGGGGTCTCCAAACTTTTCGGTCCGAGGGCCGCATTAACTATCAAATTTCAGTTCGTGGGCCCGTTTCTTCAAGGCATTTCGTGATTTTTCTTTACAAAGTTCCTCAGCCATCACCAACAAACGTTATTTCCGTGGACAAAAAGATCTCCGCGGGCCGGATGAGAGGACCTCGCGGGCCGCATTTGGCCCGCGGGCCGTAGTTTGGAGACCCCTGCTCTACAGAGACCAGTACACTTTACAGAGACCAGAACACTTTACAGAGACCAGTACGTTTTACAGAGACTAGTACACTTTACAGAGACCATTACACTTTACAGAGACCAGTACACTTTACAGAGAACAGTACACTTTACAGAGACCATTACACTTTACAGAGACCAGTACACTTTACAGAGAACAGTACACTTTACAGAGACCATTACACTTTACAGAGACCAGTACACTTTACAGGAACCAGTACACTTTACAGAGACCATTACACTTTACAGAGACCAGTACACTTTACAGAGAACAGTACACTTTACCGTTATAAAACATTCAATGGACTGATGGGCCACAAAGCAGCTGACGTGATTAATACACAATTAGGTGTGACACACACACCACCATATGTGACGCACAGACACACACCACCACCAGATGTGGCACACACACCACCAAATGTGACACACACACCACCAGATGTGACACACACATCACCAAATGTGACACACACACACCACAAAATGTGACACATACACCACCAGATGTGACACACACATCACCAGATGTGACACACACACCACCAGTTGTGACTCACACACCACCAGATGTGACACACACACACCACCAAATGTGACACACACACAACCAGATGTGATACACACACCACTAGATGTGACACACACACACCACTAGATGTGACACACACACCACCAGATGTGACACACACACAACCAGATGTGACACACACATCACCAGATGTGACACACACACCACCAAATGTGACACACACATCACCACCAGATGTGACACACACACCTCCAGATGTGACGCACACCACCAAATGTGACACACACACACCACCAGATGTGACGCACACCACCAAATGTGACACACACACCACCAGATGTGACACACACCACCAGATGTGACACACACACCACCAGATGTGACACACACACCACCAGATGTGACACACACACCACCAGATGTGACACACACACCACCAGATGTGACACACACACCACCAGATGTGACACACACACACCACCAAATGTGACACACACACCACCAGATGTGACACACACACCACCACCAGAGGTGACACACACCACCAGATGTGACACACACCACCAGATGTGACACACACCACCAGATGTGACACACACCACCAGATGTGACACACACACCACTAGATGTGACACACACACCACTAGATGTGACACACACACAACCAGATGTGACACACACACCACTAGATGTGACACACACACAACACCAGATGTGACACACACCACCAGATGTGACACACACACACACCACCAGATGTGACACACACACCACCAGATGTGACACACACCACCAGATGTGACACACACACACACCACCAGATGTGACACACACACCACCAGATGTGACACACACCACCAGAGGTGACACACACCACCAGATGTGACACACACACCACCACCAGATGTGACACACACACCTCCAGATGTGACGCACACCACCAAATGTGACACACACACACCACCAGATGTGACGCACACCACCAAATGTGACACACACACCACCAGATGTGACACACACCACCAGATGTGACACACACACCACCAGATGTGACACACACACCACCAGATGTGACACACACACCACCAGATGTGACACACACACCACCAGATGTGACACACACACCACCAGATGTGACACACACACACCACCAAATGTGACACACACACACCACCAGATGTGACACACACACCACCACCAGAGGTGACACACACCACCAGATGTGACACACACCACCAGATGTGACACACACCACCAGATGTGACACACACCACCAGATGTGACACACACACCACTAGATGTGACACACACACCACTAGATGTGACACACACACAACCAGATGTGACACACACACCACTAGATGTGACACACACACAACACCAGATGTGACACACACCACCAGATGTGACACACACACACACCACCAGATGTGACACACACACCACCAGATGTGACACACACCACCAGATGTGACACACACACACACCACCAGATGTGACACACACCTGACCAGATGTGACACACACACAACCCCAGATGTGACACACACACCACCAGATGTGACACACACACCTCCAGATGTGACGCACACCACCAAATGTGACACACACACCACCAGATGTGACACACACCACCAAATGTGACACACACCACCAGATGTGACACACACACCACCAAATGTGACACACACACCACCACCAGATGTGTCACACACACACACCACCAGATGTGTCACACACACACCACCAGATGTGACACACACCTCACCAGATGTGACACACACACAACCCCAGATGTGACACACACACCACCAGATGTGACACACACACCTCCAGATGTGACGCACACCACCAAATGTGACACACACCACCAGATGTGACACACACCACCAAATGTGACACACACCACCAGATGTGACACACACACCACCAGATGTGACACACACACCACCAGATGCGACACACACACCACCAGATGTGACACACACACACCACCAGATGTGACACACACACCACCAAATGTGACACACACCACCAGATGTGACACACACACCACCAGATGTGACACACACACCACAAGATGTGACACACACACCACTAGATGTGACACACACACAACCCCAGATGTGACACACACACCACCAGATGTGACACACACCACCAGATGTGACACACACACCACTAGATGTGACACACACACCACCAGATGTGACACACACACCACTAGATGTGACACACACACCACTAGATGTGACACACACACAACCCCAGATGTGACACACACACCACCAGATGTGACACACACCACCAGATGTGACACACACCACCAGATGTGACACACACACCACCAGATGTGACACACACCACCAGATGTGACACACACCACCAGATGTGACACACACACCACTAGATGTGACACACACACCACCAGATGTGACACACACACCACCAAATGTGACACACACACCACTAGATGTGACACACACCACCAGATGTGACTTACACCAACAGATGTGACACACACACACCAGATGTGACACACACACCACCAGATGTGACACACACCACCAGATGTGACACACACACAACCCCAGATGTGACACACACACCACCAGATGTGACACACACCACCAAATGTGACACACACACCACCAGATGTGACACACACACCACCAGATGTGACACATGCAGTACACCATCACGACACACCTGTTTAACCCGAATATTTCTCTTCCCCTTGACTTGCATCAAACGAGTTTTATACTTGTCTCTCTCCACCTTTCGAAATCCAGATTCGATACCGCCCTCCAGATACCTGCAAGTTATGGCTCTTTTTAAAATTATTGTACACTTTCGCTTTTTGTTTTGTCTTTAATGAAATGAACATTTTACAATAGTTTAGTTAGGTTGTATGCCCGACTTTTCTTTGTGTGTAAAACCGACTTGCTTTGATTATATTTATAAGGGAACTCAATCTAAGAGACTTTTTCATCCGGAGCCGCCTGCCACCCACTATCATCACCCGGGTTGGCCCTGTACCACGTGCAGTATTTAACCCTTCAGGTGGGATCACTCCAGCTGTCTCAGGGAACCCTTCAGATGGGTTCACTCTAGCTGTCTCAGTGAACCCTTCAGATGGGATCACTCCAGCTGTCTCAGGGAACCCTTCAGGTGGGATCACTCCAGCTGTCTCAGGGAACCCTTCAGATGGGTTCACTCTAGCTGTCTCAGTGAACCCTTCAGATGGGATCACTCCAGCTGTCTCAGGGAACCCTTCAGGTGGGATCACTCCAGCTGTCTCAGGGAACCCTTCAGGTGGGTTCACGACTGCTGTACCAGATTTTTGTTATTTGGAACAGTCAAGAAGATTTGTTTTCTTATAGGAACAGTTCGCCTAAATGTGTTGAGACGATTTATCACTTTATTACAACTGTTGCTTGCAAACAGTTTTGTATTTTTGTTTAATTAATTCAATGCTCAAGCCTGACGAGTGTATTGTCTATCAATTAACATACCATAAACGACATTATGCGGGCGACTGTAATTGCAAGAAAGTCTATCAGCCCAGTTCAGCAGTAACAGATGTGACATTTATAGACACACTGTATGTAAGGACTGGTAGGAACATTTATATGTCATAGTTTATGCTCCTTTCAGAAGTAGGCCTACATATACAAATTGTCGGTCATGTTTGTATGGGTAATGAAACGTGTTTGCTATGTTTGGGTCTTACAGAAACATTTTTGTAAGTGATATAAAACATGAAATGTAAAATTTCTTCAAATTACACGATTTAGAATTACCCCCCCCCCCCCTCCCCCACTCCCCCTCCCCACTTGGCAACCTGAATACGGTGACATATTTTATTGTACCTTCGTGTCTTTCAAATAGAATGAATTATCAATGTTCTCTGCCCAATGGGCCATAGCTAAATCTGTGATATTGAAATATCATAAAGTAGCTGAGTTCAATGCAAGGACCAGTAGCACAGCCTGCGTCCCCTGAGAATGTGTTGGTTAGCTAACGATTGGTCGTGCGACATGACACCCCCCCCCCCCCCACCCTCCCCAGATGTTGCCAGCGACAGCTTTACTATTGTTTTAGTGTTTTCAAAACTTTCTCCTGGATTTTGAAAAATACTCATAATAAGGTTGACATTAGCCGTTTTCACTTGACTTTAGAGATGCTAATGTTATTTTCTCTTGACTTCAGTCATACTAATGTTATTTTCTCTTGACTTTAGTCATGCTAATGTTATTTTCTCTTGACTTTAGTCATACTAATGTTATTTTCACTTGACTTTATACATACAATGAAGAAACTTAAACCATACTTAAAGTAAGACACTTACTTGACTTCATGCTTATATTAAGACACTTGACGCCGTGCTTAAAGTTAGACACTTACTTGACTCCATGTTTAAAGTAAGACACTTACTTGACGCCATGTTTAAAGTAAGACACTTACATGACGCGATGTTTAAAGTAAGACAATTACTTGACGCGATGTTTAAAGTAAGACACTTACTTGACGCCATGTTTAAAGTAAGACACTTACTTGACGCCATGTTTAAAGTAAGACACTTACTTGACGCCAAGTTTAAAGTAAGACATTTACTTGACGCCATGTTTAAAGTAAGACACTTACTTGACGCCATGTTTAAAGTAAGACACTTACTTGACGCCATGTTTAAAGTAAGACACTTACTTGACGCCAAGTTTAAAGTATGACACTTACTTGACGCCATGTTTAAAGTATGACACTTACTTGACGCCATGTTTAAAGTAAGACTCTTAGTTGACGCCATGTTTAAAGTAAGACACTTACTTGACGCCATGTTTAAAGTAAGACAGAAACAGCTTTGATTCGTGCTCTTGGACCTGTAAATGGAATAGAGTGGACTCTGACGCAATACAACATTGTGTCTAGACGCATCTTCAAACACATTCCAACAGTGTGTCTAGACGCATCTTCAAACACATTCCAACAATGTGTCTAACCAAAACCCTGCAATATTAACCACACATATACACAGACATGCACACAAACACACATAAAAACACACATAGACAACCAAACTCCCACGCAGGCACACAACTACCCAAGCACGCATGCACAAACATTCTCACCCGCAATCAAATATATTTATGCACATAGCTGTCTATGGACTCTGAGCGTACCACAACCATATCTTAAGAAATCCCTGACTCAACCATATCTTAAGAAATCCCTGACTCAACCATATCTTAAGAAATCCCTGACTCAACCATATCTTAAGAAATATCTGACACAACCATATCTTAAGAAATATCTGACACAACCATATCTGTAGAAATCTCTAACACAACCATATCTTAAGAAATATCTGACACAACCATATCTGTAGAAATATCTGACACAACCATATCTGTAGAAATATCTGACACAACCATATCTCTAGAAATATCTGACACAACCATATCTTAAGAAATATCTGACACAACCATATCTTAAGAAATATCTGACACAACCATATCTGTAGAAATATCTGACACAACCATATCTGTAGAAATCTCTAACACAACCATATCTTAAGAAATATCTGACACAACCATATCTGTAGAAATCTCTGACACAACCATATCTGTAGAAATATCTGACACAACCATATCTCTAGAAATCTCTGACACAACCATATCTGTAGAAATATCTGACACAACCATATCTCTAGAAATCTCTGACACAACCATATCTGTAGAAATATCTGACACAACCATATCTGTAGAAATATCTGACACAACCATATCTCTAGAAATCTCTGACACAACCATATCTGTAGAAATCTCTGACACAACCATATCTGTAGAAATCTCTGACACAACCATATCTGTAGTAATATCTGACACAACCATATCTGTAGAAATATCTGACACAACCATATCTGTAGAAATATCTAACACAACCATATCTCTAGAAATCTCTGACCTCTCGGTGTTGAACAGGGCCACCCCCAAGGCTGTCATCTAGCTCGACTGTTTTGTAGGCTGCCACCCCCTTTTCATCTTGAGACGTGTCCTTACCCAGCCAGAAATGTAGATCCCACTCCAACTTGGGCGAGTTTTTTACTTGCTTTGTCTGGTGGACATTTTAAAAACTGAGACTTGTAGTGGACATTTTAAAAACTGAGACTTTGAGTGGACATTTTAAAATCTTAGACTTGAACTGGACATTTTAAAATCTGAGATTTGTAGTGGACATTTTAAAAACTGAGATTTGTAGTGGACATTTTAAAATCTGAGATTTGTAGTGGACATTTTAAAAACTGAGATTTGTAGTGGACATTTTAAAAACTGAGACTTGTAGTGGACATTTTAAAAACTGAGATTTGTAGTGGACATTTTAAAAACTGAGACTTGTAGTGTACATTTTAAAATCTGAGACTTGTAGTGGACATTTTAAAATCTGAGACTTGTAGTGGACATTTTAAAAACTGAGACTTGTAGTGGACATTTTAAAAACTGAGACTTGTTTAGTGGACATTTTAAAAACTGAGACGTCTTGTGGACATTTTAAATTCTGAGACGTCTTGTGGACATTTGTGTTTAAAACTGAGACTTCTAGATGACGTTTTGTCTTCGAATCTTAGACTTGTAAAAGTTTTTGTTCCAAACTTTAGTTTTGAGTTTTTAGCTTCGAATAGATATTTTTGCCTCAAAACTTAGATTTAAAAAACAAACACTTTTAGCTTTATATACGGCAGCTCTTCACGTCAGATACATTTGTGTTGTTGTTTTAATACACACGAAGGCCCATACAATTGTGATAGTATTATGTATTAAAAATCTATTTGTTCTGCTCTGATGACCGGTTCAATCCAAACAAAATTAATTAAAATCTTTGAAATATAAAGGGGTTATTAAAAGTTTGAAAATATGAGAAATACAAACGATAAAACTAGCTCTCCATAGTCAGCTACATAAGAGGCATTAGAAGGTTAAAGTTACAATCAATAGGATATTAATAATAAGAGTAAGTAGCTAAAAGACAAAACTTACATTCAGTAATATGTAAGAGTCACCAGAATAGAATTCTCCATAGGTTTTTGGATCCTGTCGAACTACCTTCAGTTTCTGTCAGCAACAAAAGATGTCATACAGTAAACAATCACCAGTTTACGGCACTACATAGACAAAAGATGTCACACAGTAAACAATCACCAGTTTACGGCACTACATAGACAAAAGATGTCACACAGTAAATAATCACCAGTTTACGGCACTACATAGACAAAATATGTCACACAGTAAACAATCACCAGTTTACGGCACTACATAGACAAAAGATGTCACACAGTAAACAATCACCAGTTTACGGCACTACGTAGTGGCTCAAAAACTCATTAGGGTGGTGAAGACTGCTAGACTGGGCTGCTAGATCATTAGGGGGGGGGTCTGATATTGTGTGATATGTGACGAGGGGGGGGTGTCTGATATTGTGTGATTTGTGACGAGGGTGGTGGTCTGATCTTGTGTGATATGTGACGAAGGGGTCTGATATTGTGATATGTGACGAGGGGGGGGGTCTGATATTGTGTGATATGTGACGAGGGGGGTGGTGGTCTGATATTGTGTGATATGTAACGAGGGGGGTCTGATATTGTGTGTTATGTAACGAGGGGGTCTGATATTGTGTGATATGTAACGAGGGGGGGTCTGATATTGTGTGATATGTAACGAGGGGGTCTGATATTGTGTGATATGTAACGAGGGGGGGGGTCTGATATTGTGTGTTATGTAACGAGGGGGTCTGATCTTGTGTGATATGTGACGAAGGGGTCTGATATTGTGTGATGTGTAACGAGGGGGGGGGTCTGATATTGTGTGTTATGTAACGAGGGGGTCTGATATTGTGTGATATGTAACGAGGGGGTCTGATATTGTGTGTTATGTAACGAAAGGGTCTGATATTGTGTGATGTGTAACGAGGGGGGGGGGTCTGATATTGTGTGCTATGTTACGAGGGTGGGGGAGTCTGATATTGTGTGATATGTAACGAGGGGGTGTCTGATATTGTGTGATTTGTGACGAGGGTGGTGGTCTGATCTTGTGTGATATGTAACGAGGGGGGGTCTGATATTGTGTGATATGTAACGAAGGGGGTCTGATATTGTGTGTTATGTAACGAGGGTGGGGGAGTCTGATATTGTGTGATATGTAACGAGGGGGGGTCTGATATTGTGTGATATATAACGAAGGGGGTCTGATATTGTGTGTTATGTAACGAGGGTGGGGGAGTCTGATATTGTGTGATATGTAACGAGGGGGTCTGATATTGTGTGATATGTAACGAGGGGGTCTGATATTGTGTGATATGTAACGAGGGGGGTCTGATCTTGTGTGATATGTAACGAGGGGGGGCTGATATTGTGTTATATGAAACGAGGGGAGGGGAGTATAAGTCCAAATTGCGTAACATTATTCATGAACGACCACTATATATGCATTTAACCACATCTCCTTTTAAAACATTGTTTAACTTTTATTTTCAGCTTCATAGGCCCGTTTTATCCTTCAGCCTGTTATTCCAAAGCCTTTGTCTCCCCAAGAACAATCACCGAGACGGCAGTTGTTTTATGTTTTAGACAAGAACAATCATCAAGACGGCAGTTGTTATTGTTCTCTACTCAATAGGTTCCCGTCCCGATCTAGAGAACCCCATCTGTCCGGTGGTCCGAACCAGGGACTTTTAGAGTTAGCAACCATACGATCTTCCTTCTCAATAACCGGGGATTGTTGCTATCTCCCGTAGTTAAAAAATATCAGTTTATATAGTTCACATTTACACTTGTAAGAAATGTTCGCTTTCAAAGTTTACATCATTAATGTTTCCACTTGTAATCAGCGCTACCATCTCCTAATAGACCTAGTTGTGTTCTGATCATTCAGATGCCCTTGTTTCTCTCCCGCCGTTTATATCACCTTAGAAGGCACCAGATTCTTATATGTTCATCTTTTAACCAAGGCGCCTACACCCCAATGGCATTTAACCAACGACCATTTAAGGTTACCTCACTAAACCGTGGACCGTTTAAGGCTAACAATATGACTATTGTACCAGACAAGTATACTGACATTATAATTAAATTTTAAAAGGACGGACAAGACAGCTATAGTGAATTTATGAACAAACATTAAAAGGACGGACAAGATAGCTATAGTGAATTTATGAAAAAACATTAAAAGGACGGACAAGACAGCTATAATGAATTTATGAACAAACATTAAAAGGACGGACAAGATAGCTATAGTGAATTTATGAACAAACATTAAAAGGACGGACAAGATAGCTATAGTGAATTTATGAACAAACATTAAAAGGACGGACAAGACAGCTATAGTGAATTTATGAACAAATTTTAAAAGGACGGACAAGACAGCTATAGTGAATTTATGAACAAATTTTAAAAGGACGGACAAGACAGCTAAAGTGAATTTATGAACAAACATTAAAAGGACGGACAAGATCGCTATTTAGAATTTTAAAATCTCAAGGAAAATTCAACAGATCTGCATCTCTGTAGATCACATATAACGTAAATTGGTAGTTAATCTCTGTGCAACAGGTGATATCTAATTTAAATTGTTAAGTAGTTAAGTAGCTTATCTATCGGGAATTGTTAACAGCTTACCAACATCTTCATAATATCGTTAACAACTTACCAACATCTTCATAATATGGTTAACAAATTACCAACATCATCATAATATGGTTAACAACTTACCAGCATCCTACATTATCGTTAACAACTTACCAACATCCTCATAATATGGTTAACAACTTACCAACATCATCATAATATGGTTAACAAGTTACCAACATCCTCATAATATTATCCCCAAGGAAAGCACGGAAAATGTTTTCCATCTAATTGAAGACGTCTAAGAAATAAAGCAAGTTTACATTTGAGCAACACGTCAATAATATTTACCTCAATTCTCCATATCTCAAGTCCAGTTTTACGACCAGCGTTTTCAAAAGCTGCATCTACAGCCATCTCTGGGGTTAACCGTACACACACATAGACAAGCCCTCAACTGAATCCCTGTGACCATGTGGCCTAGTGTGGCGTATGGTGGCGTGGCTGTGTGTCGCACAATGCTAAGGTGTGCTGGGCACATCTGTAATAAAACCTAATGCCAAGCTGTTGGTGTATGAGGTCAGTACTTGCAACATATTTCCTTCAAATCGATGACTGGTCTACTCCAACAAGTGCAGCCTTTCTATGTGAGCAGAAAGCTCGTCTGTTGCTCACCTCCATGTTTTTGTTGTCTAATGAAACGTTTGTTGACGTTCTCACGTATTTATCAAATGTGGGCTTATGTTACTGACATCTAGACAGATGCAAGGATTCAATAAATTAACTAATATAAGATAGGCGCAGTGGCATCGCAAGGGGAGAGCGGGTGGGGCGGGCGCCTCTGTTGGCAAAAATTTAAAAGATAATTTTAAGCTGAAGTATTTAATTATACACTAAGTGTGGCACCAAAGCAAAATACTGACCGGTAAAAAGCGCCACCAACCTTTCCAACTGTGTGTGTGTGGGGGGGGGGGGGGGTGGGGAGGGGGAGGAGGCTTTTTCATTTACATGAAAAAGTATAATATTAATGGGAGAGGTCAAGAAATTGATAGTTGGCACCGGGTTCCGGAATGGGCTGCTACGCTTCTGCTCAGGCGGACAGGAGGAATCATAAATTACCCAGCACATAGACAATATATTTAGAAGGATGCAATAACTCAAGGATTTAATGTATGAACAAACATTTAGACCACTAAAACTAACAAAAAATATGGTTTTGACATTCAGGACACACTCCCATGTACCGAATGACTAGTGGTTTAAATAGGTAGATCTAGATCAAGGTGTGTTTAGGGTTTGCTTCCATATCCTTTGTCAATCCAAAAACAAACAGCAAGGCAGCAGTTGTTTGATTTTGGAGTTGTCTTTCCTAGATGAATTGCTGTCCCCAGCTATCGTGCCTCATATATCTGTGGGTTCGAACTGGGGACTTTCGTTTCAAGTGGAATAATGAAATTAGAGTCAAGTCAAGATGTAGGACAGAAATCATGTCAACTGGTAGGACAGAAATCATGTCAACTGGTAGGACAGAAATCATGTCAACTGGTAGGACAGAAATCATGACAAATGGTAGGACAGAAACCATGTCAAGATGTTGGACAGAAATCATGTCAAGATGCTGGACAAAAATCATGACAAGATGTTGGAGAGAAGTCATGTCAAGATGTAGGACAGAAATCATGTCAAGAAATAGAACAGAAATCATGTCAAGATGTAGGACAGAAATCATGTCAACTGGTAGGACAGAAATCATGACAAATGGTAGGACAGAAATCATGACAAGATGCTGGACAGAAATCATGTCAAGATGTAGGACAGAAATCATGTCAAGATGTTGGACAGAAATCATGTCAAGAAATAGGACAGAAACCATGTCAAGATGTAGGACAGAAATCATGTCAAGATGTAGGACAGAAATCATGTCAAGATGTTGGACAGAAATCATGTCAAGAAATAGGACAGAAACCATGTCAAGATGTAGGACAGAAATCATGTCAAGATGTAGGACAGAAATCATGTCAAGATGTAGGACAGAAATCATGTCAAGATGTAGGACAGAAATCATGACAAGATGTAGGACAAAAATCATGTCAAGATGTTGGACAGAAATCATGTCAAGATGTTGGAGAGAAATCATGTCAAGAAAAAGGACAGAAATCATGTCAAGATGTTGGACAGAAATCATGTCAAGATGTAGGACAGAAATCATGACAAATGGTAGGACAGAAATCATGTCAAGATGTTGGACAGAAATCATGTCAAGATGTTGGAGAGAAATCATGTCAAGAAATAGGACAGAAATCATGTCAAGATGTAGGACAGAAATCATGACAAGATGTTGGACAGAAATCATGTCAAGAAGTTGGACAGAAATCATGTCAAGATGTTGGACAGAAATCATGTCAAGATGTTGGACAGAAATCATGTCAAGATGTTGGACAGAAATCATGTCAAGAAATAGGACAGAAATCATGACAAGATGTAGGACAGAAATCATGACAAGATGTTGGACAGAAATCATGTCAAGAAATAGGACAGAAATCATGTCAAGATGTAGGACAGAAATCATGTCAAGATGTTGGACAGAAATCATGTCAAGAAATAGGACAGAAATCATGACAAGATGTAGGACAGAAATCATGACAAGATGTTGGACAGAAATCATGTCAAGAAATAGGACAGAAATCATGTCAAGATGTAGGACAGAAATCATGTCAACTGGTAGGACAGAAATCATGACAAATGGTAGGACAGAAATCATGACAAATGGTAGGACAGAAACCATGTCAAGATGCTGGACAGAAATCATGTCAAGAAAAAGGACAGAAATCATGTTAAGATGTAGCACAGAAATCATGTCAAGATGTTGGACAGAAATCATGTCAAGAAATAGGACAGAAATCATGTCAAGAAAAAGAACAGAAATCATGTCAAGATGTAGGACTGAAATCATGTCAAGATGTTGGACAGAAATCATGTCAAGATGTTGGACAGAAACCATGTCAAGATGTTGGACAGAAATCATGTCAAGAAATAGGACAGAAATCATGTCAAGAAATAGGACAGAAATCATGTCAAGATGTTGGACAGAAACCATGTCAAGATGTTGGACAGAAACCATGTCAAGATGTTGGACAGAAATCATGACAAATGGTAGGACAGAAATCATGTCAAGATGTTGGACAGAAATCATGTCAAGATGTAGGACAGAAATCATGTCAAGATGTAGGACAGAAATCATGTCAAGATGTAGGACAGAAATCATGTCAAGATGTAGGACAGAAATCATGTCAAGATATTTGAGAAGAATTATGTTGTGATCAGACACTTTTATTACCTCGTGGGGTGTAAAAACAAAATAATAACGTATGAACTAACATCCCAATATTTCCACAAAACAAATTAAAATAACCTTGTATGTACCAAATGGCTTCCCCTACAGGCTAACAAATTAATTAAATATAGGCTTTTATTTAGCTGCAAACAATTTTCCGTACACAATCTAAAACGAAACAGCCATGTACATTTGCAATATTTTCCCCATTAATCTAAATTATATTATCCGGTAGCTTCACAACATTTTCATCAAACTGATAAATATCCAAAATTTAAATATTAACATATTTTAAAGTTGTGGAAAACAATATTTATACTAGCTTTTATTTAACTTGCTTCCTTTACATGTCTTTTGTCTGTCGTGCTTCGTCATCGATCGAAACTGCCGAGCGAAATGTTGACCACTTCTAACTGACCGATTTGTTTCAAAGTTGTTGGGCCAAGACCTGATGACAGTAAAATAAGACATCAACTTTGACTTAATTAGACAATTAATTAATGTCTAATAATTAATTAAAGTTTCATATATAAAGTACCTTTTCCATTTTATTATATGCACATACGTGTTCATTTTGTGTGCAATTATTTTTAGACATGTACTGAAATAAAAGTATTCATAAAATTTTGGAAGCTACTCACACTTTTCTTTACAGTTATTTAAAGAAAATCATTTTTTTTTCTCCTTTTTAGTGGATAATTATAAAAAAAGCTTGTTATTAAAAAAAGTTTTTTTTTATGAATTTGTTTTTACAGTTCTATACCAGAGAAACAAATGAAAGCACTGAATGGTAAAGTGTCAAATAAATTAAAGAAGAAAAACCAACAACGAGATCTGTGATTACTTTATGAATGCTGTTACAAATTTATTTATTCCTTCGATAAATTCTGTTTTGTGCTTCTTTGATGTATAAAAGATGAATAAAGTGGTTTTATCTAAGACAATTACAAAAATAGAATGACGGCTCAGTGCTAACATACTGAGCTGCTTTTAACAAACTTCAATGGATGGTGGTATTCATACAATGACAATCTTTAAGCCATTTTGGTATTTAAACAAGACAATCTCCAAGCTATGGTGGTATTCATACACGACAATCTTTAAGCTATGGTGGTTTTCAAGCAAGACAATCTCCAAACTATGGTGGTATTCAAACAAGAAAATGGTAGTATTCATACATGAAGGTATTATTATATTAATAAATGACTATTTTCAAATAATGTTATTCTTGTCATATCCAATCATTCAAGCAGTCATCTTGGCCCAACAGTCATGTCATATCTTGTCTCAACAGTCATGTCATATCTTATGTCAGCAGTCATGTCATATCTTATGTCAGCAGTTATGTCATATCTTGTCTCAGCATTCATGTCATATCTTATGTCAACAGTCATGTCATATCTTATGTCAGCAGTCATGTCATATCTTATGTCAGCAGTCATGTCATATCTTATGTCAGCAGTCATGTCATATCTTATGTCAGCAGTCATGTCATATCTTATGTCAGCAGTCATGTCATATCTTATGTCAGCAGTCATGTCATATCTTATGTCAGCAGTCATGTCATATCTTATGTCAGCAGTCATGTCATATCTTATGTCAGCAGTCATGTCATATCTTATGTCAGCATTTATGTCATATCTTATGTCAGCAGTCATGTCATATCTTGGCCCAACAGTCATGTCATATCTTGTCTCAGCAGTCATGTCATATCTTATGTCAGCAGTCATGTCATATCTTGTCTCAGCAGTCATGTCACGTCCTGATTGAATCAGTCATGTCACATCTTGATTTAAGCAGTCAGGTAATTTAATAACCTTTTTTACATTCCACCAAAAAGGCATCTGATCATTCAATTAGTTAATATTTTAATTAGTCAATCGTTTAATTAGTCAATCGTTTAAATAGTCAATCGTTTAATTAGTCAATCGTTTAATTAGTCAATCGTTTAATTAGTCAATCGTTTAATAAGTCAATCAATCGTAAAAGCATATGACTCATATAATGTAATTTAAATAATTTTAGATACAAAGTTCTAAATATGACTAAACTAAAAAGTAGATTTATATCAAGTTTGTATATAAAAATATGAATTTTTCTCTAAACTTGACACCAAGAACAATGGAAGCGACAGAATATTCTTGAGCTTCTCTTATAGTTGTTATCATAGAGAGAACCGTAGCATTCATGTTACCATTACATCATCCGCTCAAACTAATCATCTACATGAAGTCATCTAATTATCTACATGACGTCATCTAATGACTTATATATGAAATCATGCATTAAAATAAATAAAAATAGTCTTCACTGGTGTCTTATTAGTCCGCAATTAAATTTCATCCAAATCTTTTTTTCTAGAAAGTCCTCAAACTTTACATGGTTATAATATCAAATGTCGGTCACAATGTATAACAAACGTATAGACCTTTATCAACAGTGTGTTAGTGCTAGTAGAGCGCTAGGGGTGGGGCATAATTTAGAGAAGTCGACATCATTCATTTGGAAAAACGGACAGTAATGGACACCTTATATATATATATATATATATATATATATATATATATATATATATATATATATATATATATATATATATAACATATATATAATATATATATACGTGTGTTTGTATAAATGAATGTGTCAATGTTTCAATAGTAATAGTTATTTAGAAACTAGTTCAAATTTAACCATCAAATTAGATTTGTTAATTTAAAATATAAAACTTGCATAAATAAATATTTGAAAATTTAGATAATACATGATATTACAATCAAACATGCTTTAGTCGAGACAAAATGATTGTGTCAATCAGTGTTTGACATGACAAAAAAATGTTCACACAATCCATTTTCCACAGCTGCTCTCAATCTTCCCTGTTCACTCCACGGTTTGTTACTCTCACTCAGCTAAGTAATCTTTTGTTTACTTGATACCTACTCTTCACTCAGCTAAGTAATCTTTTGTTTACTTGATACCTACTCTTCACTCAGCTAAGTAATCTTTTGTTTACTTGATACCTACTCTTCACTCAGCTAATTAATCTTTTGTTTACTTGATACCTACTCTTCACTCAGCTAAGTAATCTTTTGTTTACTTGATACCTACTCTTCACTCAGCTAAGTAATCTTTTGTTTACTTGATACCTACTCTTCACTCAGCTAAGTAATCTTTTGTTTACTTGATACATACTCTTCACTCAGCTAAGTAATCTTTTGTTTACTTGATACATACTCTCACTCAGCTAGACTGTGTCCTTACACCAGAAGTCTGTGTGCTTGCATCAGACTGTCGGCGTGCTTACATCAGACAGTCTGTATGTTTACATTAGACTGTTTGTGTGCTTACATTAGACAGTTTGTGTGCTAACATTACAAATCTGTAAGATTACACCAACAGTCTGTGTGCTTACATTAGACTATGTCCTTACACCAGTAGTATGTGTGCTTACATTACAAATCTGTATGCTTACACCAACAGTCTGTGTGCTTACATTAGACTATATCCTTACACCAGTAGTATGTGTGCTTACATTAGACTATGTCCTTACACCAGTAGTATGTGTGCTTACATTACAAATCTGTATGCTTACACCAGCAGTCTGTGCTTACATCAGACAGTCTGTTTGCTTGTATAAGACACATTAGGTAGTGTCAATATTTCACCTTACTTTACAAGCCCGATCAAAAGTAAGAAACGAACGTTTACTTTCAATTATAAACAAGTTTACGCTTATCTCCCCCTGTCAGATGACCCAATGTTTATATCTTGCAAATCGATAGCTAGACAGTAGGAACCAATTCAAACAGTTTTTCCAATCACAGATATACACATACAAAAAAATTAAGATACATGGTAAAAATATATACATAAATAACTTCATTACAGTTGTGCTAAATAAAAGGTGACAATTCAAACATAAATAAATAGCAGTTACTGCATATATTTTAAACAGTTACTGCATATATTTTTAAAAATGTAATCTGAAAGAAAACGAGCTGAGAAATGAGAATAAAAGCTGGTCATTTGCTCATTACTCATACACAAGGTGGTGACTGAACAGACAGAGAACATTTTATAAATCAGACGAAACCTTAGCATATCCTATGTAGCCTTGGTCAGTTAGATGGACTGTACTCAATACATAAGTAGACTTGATTGCAACTATTTCACTCACAAAATATTTTGCTAGATAACATATTGTATTAGGGACGCGGAGTGGTATCAATTTTGTAGTTTGATGCTATTAATATACAACGTGTTTCATTATAGACAGCTGTAGGGAAAAACCTACATAGAGCAGAGATCGATGATGATAGGATATTTCTGAAATCGATAATTTTATAACGCTGCACGTTTTCCGGCAAGATGTGCATCAATTTACAGATACAGGTGAGAAACACAGAACTTACAGATACAGGTGAGAAACACAGAACTTACAGATACAGGTGAGAAACACGGAACTCACAGATACAGGTGAGAAACACAGAACTTACAGATACAGGTGAGAAACACAGAACTTACAGATACAGGTGAGAAACACGGAACTTACAGATACAGGTGAGAAACACAGAACCTACAGATACAGGTGAGAAACACATTTGAGACGGACACATAAACTAGTGACAATCTAGACACCGTGAAAACAATCCCATGTGAACAGTTCGCTAGCTAACAATCAATCTGTGCAATACAGCTGAGTTTCTCGACAAAAATATCACGACTTATGTGATTGTAGCTTGAATGCATGTGATTGTAGCTTGAATGCATGAAGGATGGCGGAATACAGAGACACCGACTGGACATTTCTAGAACGCACTCTTTGACACGGTCAAACTCACATGTGCATTCGTTGTTTTCTGAATGAAAAAGGGACAACAAATCAAGTGATCAATGAATCATTCTCATCCATGTTAACTATTCAACAGTTGTAAGTTTTATTTCAGTGTTAGTATGACATCTGGCCAGTTGAACCTGTGTTGTGACTGAGGAGCATGGCTGTAGGTGTGTACAATCCCGTGCGTGTTGACTTGGTTTGACCGACTTGTCGTGCAACAACTTCCTACAGCTTGCATGTCAACAGGTGCGAGGGAAAACTGGAACACGCACATCTGGTAGCTATAGGTAAACGCGATTGTATGGATTGTTTAATCGTGTGCAGCCTATAGGTCAACACGGTTCTAGATTTTCATCAAATTAACAAAAACAAAGAAACAAGCTAGTCAGATCTGCATTCATACTTTTCTAAGACAAACCAAGATCACACTGGAGTGGTGCGTCGAACGATATCTATAGATGGTACCACAGACGGTGGGGAGCCAGACCTTAGCATGGTGGAACTTGTGGCGGCTGAGTTGGGAGCGTGGAACTCCGCCGTGGTGGAGATGGTGTTGTTGGTGTTGGAGCGTGGGCAGGCGTAGTTGGACAGCTCGTGGGAGGTGTCTGAGATGGGCGTGTAGGTGAAGTAGCTCTCTGAGCGACTGGCCGACGGCTCACGAGATCTGTCACGTGACTGCGTGCGATCCCGCGAGTTCTCACGAGGCATCCTCCTGATGTGCCGGGCGGCCTGGTGGTTCCTGTCGTTGTGTTCAGACTTGAGGGCCAGCCGCTTGACCCGCTGGGAGTGTTTATGTTTGGAGATGTACAGGTAGACGGAGAAAACACCTGACAGCTCGGTCAGGACAAACGAGCCCACGGCCATGAAGAAAGAAGATCCGTAGTCGTAGAGGAAACGCGGCTCTTCTATAGACGTCTTAGACTTGTTGCCAACTTCACCCGTGATGCTGCCGATGTACAGTATGATGCCAACCAGCGTACAGAGGCCTGCAAATAAACAAACACAATGTGTATAATGCCAACTAGCGTACAGAGGCCTGTAAATATACAAACACAATCAGATGCCAACCAGCGTACAGAGGCCTGCAAATATACAAACACAATCAGATGCAAACCAGCGTACAGAGGCCTGCAAATATACAAACACATTGTGTATGATGCCAACTAGCGTACAGAGGCCTGCAAATATACAAACACAATGTGTATGATGTCAACTAGCGTACAGAGGCCTGCAAATATACAAACACAATCAGATGCCAACCAGCGTACAGAGGCCTGCAAATATACAAACACAATGTGTATGATTCCAACCAGCGTACAGAGGCCTGCAAAAATACAAACACAGTCAGTGTAAAGTTTAAAGTTGTATTGTGTGTGGCTGTGTAAAGTTTAAAGTTGTATTGTGTGTGGCTGTGTAAAGTTTAAAGTTGTATTGTGTGTGGCTGTGTAAAGTTTAAAGTTGTATTGCGTGTGGCTGTGTAAAGTTTAAAGTTGTATTGTGTGTGGCTGTGTAAAGTTTAAAGTTGTATTGCGTGTGGCTGTGTAAAGTTTAAAGTTGTATTGTGTGTGGCTGTGTAAAGTTTAAAGTTGTATTGTGTGTGGCTGTGTAAAGTTTAAAGTTGTATTGCGTGTGGCTGTGTAAAGTTTAAAGTTGTATTGTGTGTGGCTGTGTAAAGTTTAAAGTTGTATTGTGTGTGGCTGTGTAAAGTTTAAAGTTGTATTGTGTGTGGCTGTGTAAAGTTTAAAGTTGTATTGTGTGTGGCTGTGTAAAGTTTAAAGTTGTATTGTGTGTGGCTGTGTAAAGTTTAAAGTTGTATTGTGTGTGGCTGTGTAAAGTTTAAAGTTGTATTGTGTGTGGCTGTGTAAAGTTTAAAGTTGTATTACGTGTGGCTGTGTAAAGTTTAAAGTTGTATTACGTGTGGCTGTGTAAAGTTTAAAGTTGTATTGTGTGTGGCTGTGTAAAGTTTAAAGTTGTATTACGTGTGGCTGTGTAAAGTTTAAAGTTGTATTACGTGTGGCTGTGTAAAGTTTAAAGTTGTATTGTGCGTGGCTGTGTAAAGTTTAAAGTTGTATTGTGTGTGGCTGTGTAAAGTTTAAAATTGTATTGTGTGTGGCTGTGTAAAGTTTAAATTTGTATTGCGCGTGGCTGTGTAAAGTTTAAAGTTGTATTGTGTGTGGCTGTGTAAAGTTTAAAGTTGTATTGTGTGTGGCTGGGTAAAGTTTAAAGTTGTATTGTGTGTGGCTGTGTAAAGTTTAAAGTTGTATTGTGTGTGGCTGTGTAAAGTTTAAAGTTGTATTGTGTGTGGCTGTGTAAAGTTTAAAGTTGTATTGTGTGTGGCTGTGTAAAGTTTAAAGTTGTATTGTGTGTGGCTGGGTAAAGTTTAAAGTTGTATTGTGTGTGGCTGTGTAAAGTTTAAAGTTGTATTAAGTGTGGCTGTGTAAAGTTTAAAGTTGTATTGTGTGTGGCTGTGTAAAGTTTAAAGTTGTATTGTGTGTGGCTGTGTAAAGTTTAAAGTTGTATTGTGTGTGGCTGTGTAAAGTTTAAAGTTGTATTAAGTGTGGCTGTGTAAAGTTTAAAGTTGTATTGTGTGTGGCTGGGTAAAGTTTAAAGTTGTATTGTGTGTGGCTGTGTAAAGTTTAAAGTTGTATTGTGTGTGGCTGTGTAAAGTTTAAAGTTGTATTGCGTGTGGCTGTGTAAAGTTTAAAGTTGTATTGTATGTGGCTGTGTAAAGTTTAAAGTTGTATTGTGTGTGGCTGTTTAAAGTTTAAAGTTTTATTGTGTGTGGCTGTGTAAAGTTTAAAGTTGTATTGTGTATGGCTGTGTAAAGTTTAAAGTTGTATTGTGTGTGGCTGTTTAAAGTTTAAAGTTATATTGTGTGTGGCTGTGTAAAGTTTAAAGTTGTATTGTGCGTGGCTGTGTAAAGTTTAAAGTTGTATTGTGTGCTTGCAATTTGTCAGTCTGATCATTGCGGGCTTGCTATAAAAATGTAGCCTCCCTCCCCCCCCCCCGCGCGCTCTAGACTAGCGCTAGTCTGTCCCCGGGGAACCCCTGGTATTTGTGTGTCCGTGTGAGCAGAAACAGGCCACATTCCTCTCTCTGTAATGGACGGCTGATGCTTTTATTTGAACTCAGTCTCGTTACATCAGGGCTGGCTGACGCGGGGATCAATGACGCCCAATGACGCGGGGATCATAGACGCCCAATGACGCTGGGATCAATGACGCCCAATGACGCGGACATGGAAGACGCCCTTAGCTACAAGAATTATATTTGTCTTAAGCGATGGAAAACTTGCAGGAGTTTTGAAATAAAACAAAGTCCACATTTAAAAACTTTCCAACAACACATGCTTTAGCTTTCCCTTCAGATGCCAGAGACAGTTGTAGCTCCAAGAAGAATGATCAATTACAGGTTATTGGGAGAACAGAGAAACCGTTCAATTCTGATCAATTACAGGTTATTGGGAGAACAGAGAGGCTGTTCTATTCTGATCAATTACAGGTTATTGGGAGAACAGAGAGGCCGTTCAATTCTGATTAATTACAGGTTATTGGGAGAACAGAGAGGCCGTTCAATTCTGATCAATTACAGGTTATTGGGAGAACAGAGAGGCCGTTCTATTCTGATCAATTACAGGTTATTGGGAGAACAGAGAGGCCGTTCTATTCTGATCAATTACAGGTTATTGGGAGAACAGAGAGGCCGTTCTATTCTGATCAAATACAGGCTATTGGGAGAACAGAGAGGCCGTTCTATTCTGATCAATTACAGGTTATTGGGAGAACAGAGAGGCCGTTCTATTCTGATCAAATACAGGTTATTGGGAGAACAGAGAGGCCGTTCTATTCTGATCAATTACAGGTTATTGGGAGAACAGAGAGGCCGTTCTATTCTGATCAATTACGGGTTATTGGGAGAACAGAGAGGCCGTTCAACTCTGATCAATTACAGGTTATTGGGAGAACAGAGAGGCCGTTCTATTCTGATCAATTACAGGTTATTGGGAGAACAGAGAGGCCGTTCAATTCTGATCAATTACAGGTTATTGGGAGAACAGAGAGGCCGTTCAACTCTGATCAATTACAGGTTATTGGGAGAACAGAGAGGCCGTTCAATTTTAACAGATGTAAGTTATTGGGAAAACAGAGAGGCCGTTCAATAATAATGGATGTAAGTTATTGGGAGAACCGAGAGACCGTTCAATTATAATGGATGTAAGTTATTGGGAGAACAGAGAGGCCGTTCAATTATAATGGATGTAAGTTATTGGGAGAACAGAGAGGCCGTTCAGTTACAAATGCTGAAGGCTATAGTTAAAATTTATTTTAAATATCTATTATTTTACCATTTGTTTATCTAAAGAGCTTGAACTAAATTATTCTATTGGTCTGTGAATTAATATCTAAAGAATTTCTACTGGTATTGATTAAAAGCATTCTATAACAATTATGCTCACCTGCTAAAACAAATAAAATTCCAGAGACGAAGGTCAATATTTTCTTATTGTCGTTGCAGTGGCCGATGAAGCACATGATTCCACCGATGAGAAGAATGAGAATACTGACCAGTGGGAACATGGTAGCCTGACGTATGTTTACTGGGGAGAAATAAATGTACATGGTAGCCTGGCGTATGTTTACTGGGGAGAAATAAATGTACAAGGTAGCCTGACGTATGTTTACTGGGGAGAAATAAATGTAGGCCTACAAGGTAGCCTGGCGTATGTTTACTTGGGAGAAATAAATGTACATGGTAGCCTGACGTATGTTTACTGGGGAGAAATAAATGTACATGGTAGCCTGACGTATGTTTACTGGGGAGTAATAAATGTACAAGGTAGCCTGACGTATGTTTACTGGGGAGAAATAAATGTACATGGTAGCCTGACGTATGTTTACTGGGGAGAAATAAATGAACATGGTAGCCTGACGTATGTTGACTGGGGAGAAATAAATGTACAAGGTAGCCTGACTGGGGAGAAATAAATGTACAAGGTAGCCTGACGTATGTTTACTGGGGAGAAATAAGTGTACATGGTAGCCTGACGTATGTTTACTGGGGAGAAATAAATGTACAAGGTAGCCTGACGTATGTTTACTGGGGAGTAATAAATGTACAAGATAGCCTGACGTATGTTTACTGGGGAGAAATAAATGTACAAGGTAGCCTGACGTATGTTTACTGGGGAGAAATAAATGTACAAGGTAGCCTGACGTATGTTTACTGGGGAGAAATAAATGTACAAGGTAGCCTGACGTATGTTTACTGGGGAGAAATAAATGTACAAGGTAGCCTGACGTATGTTTACTGGGGAGAAATAAATGTACAAGGTAGCCTGACTGGGGAGAAATAAATGTACAAGGTAGCCTGACTGGGGAGAAATAAATGTACAAGGTAGCCTGACGTATGTTGACTGGGGAGAAATAAATGTACATGGTAGCCTGACGTATGTTTACTGGGGAGAAATAAATGTACAAGGTAGCCTGACGTATGTTGACTGGGGAGAAATAAATGTACAAGGTAGCCTGACGTATGTTTACTGGGGAGAAATAAATGTACAAGGTAGCCTGACTGGGGAGAAATAAATGTACAAGGTAGCCTGACGTATGTTGACTGGGGAGAAATAAATGTACAAGGTAGCCTGACGTATGTTTACTGGGGAGAAATAAATGTACATGGTAGCCTGACGTATGTTTACTGGGGAGAAATAAATGTACATGGTAGCCTGACGTATGTTTACTGGGGAGAAATAAATGTACAAGGTAGCCTGACTGGGGAGAAATAAATGTACAAGGTAGCCTGACGTATGTTGACTGGGGAGAAATAAATGTACAAGGTAGCCTGACGTATGTTGACTGGGGAGAAATAAATGTACATGGTAGCCTGACGTATGTTGACGATAAAAAGTTTTAAGGCTAGCTTACTCTGGTTTACTGGAGATAATAAATCTAATCTTTGAGTATACATTACAAGAATTTATGGTGAATGTTTCTTTACATACTAATGTTATACAATCTAGTTTTTAACGTGCAAATGTTATAGTGGCTGGCTTTATTACACGCTGATGTTATACTTGCTGGTGTTATTACAAACTAATTTTATACTTGTTGGTTTTTATTACAAGCTATGTTACAACTAATGTTACAACTACTTGCTTTTAATGGAGGCTTTACATTTACAAATTCAAAAAAGAATTTATTTTTTGCTTCGAATATATTGCTTTAAAGTTACTTTAAAGAGCACAGCGTACACAGTATCTTGACTGAAATAAAAGCAAAAAATCAAGTTGTAAACAGTTGAGCAACTTACATAGGATAGCATCTGTTGGTCCCAGCCCGTCTCTGTCTTCATTCGTAAAATATTGAATATAAGAACACTCTGCAGGCTTGTGTTCATTATCTGCAGAGAGATACCCGACAAACACGTTATTTCAACTGTTAATGGTGTTGCTATTGATGTTATAATTGATGTTGTTATTGATGTTCCTAGTGATTATGTTATTGATGTTATTAAAGTTGTTAATGATGTTGTTCTTTATGTTATTATTGATGTTGTTATTATGGTTTTTTATGTTGGTATTATTGCTGCTATTGAGGTTTTTATTAATGTTGTTTTAATGTTCATGACATTATTAGGGGTGTTGATACTGATGTTATTACATCTAGAAGTATTAGTAGGGTAAACTAGATCCTGCCCACACAAGATGAAGTTCAGACCTACAAAGTGGACCAGACTCAAACATTTACACTGGATCCAGCCTCTAGCCCTGGACCAGACTCAAACATTTACACTGGCTCCAGCCCTGGACCAGACTCAAACATTTACACTGGCTCCAACCCTCGACCAGACTCAAACATTTATACTGGCTCCAGCCTCCAGCCCTGGACCAGACTCAAACATTTACACTGGCTCCAGCCCTGGACCAGACTCAAACATTTACACTGGCTCCAACCCTGGACCAGACTCAAACATTTACACTGGCTCCAACCCTGGACCAGACTCAAACATTTACACTGGCTCCAGCCCTGGACCAGACTAAAACATTTACACTGGCTCCAGCCTCTAGCCCTGGACCAGACTCAAACATTTACACTGGCTCCAGCCCTGGACGAGACTCAAACATTTACACTGGCTCCAGCCCTGGACCAGACTCAAACATTAACACTGGCTCCAGCCTCTAGCCCTGGACCAGACTCAAACATTTACACTGGCTCCAGTCCTGGACCAGACTCAAACATTAACACTGGCTCCAACCCTGGACCAGACTCAAACATTTACACTGGCTCCAGCCTCCAGCCCTGGACCAGACTCAAACATTTACACTGGCTCCAGCCTCCAGCCCTGGACCAGACTCAAACATTTACACTGGCTCCAGCCCTGGACCAGACTCAAACATTTACACTGGCTCCAGCCTCCAGCCCTGGACCAGACTCAAACATTTACACTGGCTCCAACCCTGGACCAGACTCAAACATTAACACTGGCTCCAGCCCTGGACCAGACTCAAACATTTACACTGGCTCCAACCCTGGACCAGACTCAAACATTTACAATGGCTCCAACCCTGGACCAGACTCAAACATTTACACTGGCTCCAGCCCTGGACCAGACTCAAACATTTACACTGGCTCCAACCCTGGACCAGACTCAAACATTTACACTGGCTCCAACCCTGGACCAGACTCAAACATTTACACTGGCTCCAACCCTGGACCAGACTAAAACATTTACACTGGCTCCAGCCTCCAGCCCTGGACCAGACTCAAACATTTACACTGGCTCCAACCCTGGACCAGACTAAAACATTTACACTGGCTCCAGCCTCCAGCCCTGGACCAGACTCAAACATTTACACTGGCTCCAACCCTGGACCAGACTCAAACATTTACACTGGCTCCAGCCTCCAGCCCTGGACCAGACTCAAACATTCACACTGGCTCCAACCCTGGACCAGACTCAAACATTTACACTGGCTCCAACCCTGGACCAGACTCAAACATTTACACTGGCTCCAGCCTCCAGCCCTGGACCAGACTCAAAAATTTACACTGGATCCAGCCCTGGACCAGACTCAAACATTTACACTGGCTCCAGCCCTGGACCAGACTCAAACATTTACACTGGCTCCAACCCTGGACCAGACTCAAACATTTACACTGGCTTCAGCCCTGGACCAGACTCAAACATTTACACTGGCTCCAGCCCTGGACGAGACTCAAACATTTACACTGGCTCCAGCCCTGGACCAGACTCAAACATTAACACTGGCTCCAGCCTCTAGCCCTGGACCAGACTCAAACATTTACACTGGCTCCAGTCCTGGACCAGACTCAAACATTAACACTGGCTCCAACCCTGGACCAGACTCAAACATTTACACTGGCTCCAGCCTCCAGCCCTGGACCAGACTCAAACATTTACACTGGCTCCAGCCTCCAGCCCTGGACCAGACTCAAACATTTACACTGGCTCCAGCCCTGGACCAGACTCAAACATTTACACTGGCTCCAGCCTCCAGCCCTGGACCAGACTCAAACATTTACACTGGCTCCAACCCTGGACCAGACTCAAACATTAACACTGGCTCCAGCCCTGGACCAGACTCAAACATTTACACTGGCTCCAACCCTGGACCAGACTCAAACATTTACAATGGCTCCAACCCTGGACCAGACTCAAACATTTACACTGGCTCCAGCCCTGGACCAGACTCAAACATTTACACTGGCTCCAACCCTGGACCAGACTCAAACATTTACACTGGCTCCAACCCTGGACCAGACTCAAACATTTACACTGGCTCCAACCCTGGACCAGACTAAAACATTTACACTGGCTCCAGCCTCCAGCCCTGGACCAGACTCAAACATTTACACTGGCTCCAACCCTGGACCAGACTAAAACATTTACACTGGCTCCAGCCTCCAGCCCTGGACCAGACTCAAACATTTACACTGGCTCCAACCCTGGACCAGACTCAAACATTTACACTGGCTCCAGCCTCCAGCCCTGGACCAGACTCAAACATTCACACTGGCTCCAACCCTGGACCAGACTCAAACATTTACACTGGCTCCAACCCTGGACCAGACTCAAACATTTACACTGGCTCCAGCCTCCAGCCCTGGACCAGACTCAAAAATTTACACTGGATCCAGCCCTGGACCAGACTCAAACATTTACACTGGCTCCAGCCCTGGACCAGACTCAAACATTTACACTGGCTCCAACCCTGGACCAGACTCAAACATTTACACTGGCTTCAGCCCTGGACCAGACTCAAACATTTACACTGGCTCCAACCCTCGACCAGACTCAAACATTTATACTGGCTCCAGCCTCCAGCCCTGGACCAGACTCAAACATTTACACTGGCTCCAGCCCTGGACCAGACTCAAACATTTACACTGGCTCCAACCCTGGACCAGACTCAAACATTTACACTGGCTCCAACCCTGGACCAGACTCAAACATTTACACTGGCTCCAGCCCTGGACCAGACTAAAACATTTACACTGGATCCAGCCTCTAGCCCTGGACCAGACTCAAACATTTACACTGGCTCCAGCCCTGGACGAGACTCAAACATTTACACTGGCTCCAGCCCTGGACCAGACTCAAACATTAACACTGGCTCCAGCCTCTAGCCCTGGACCAGACTCAAACATTTACACTGGCTCCAGTCCTGGACCAGACTCAAACATTAACACTGGCTCCAGCCCTGGACCAGACTCAAACATTTACACTGGCTCCAGCCCTGGACCAGACTCAAACATTTACACTGGCTCCAGCCCTGGACCAGACTCAAACATTTACACTGGCTCCAACCCTGGACCAGACTCAAACATTTACACTGGCTCCAACCCTGGACCAGACTCAAACATTTACACTGGCTCCAACCCTGGACCAGACTAAAACATTTACACTGGCTCCAGCCTCCAGCCCTGGACCAGACTCAAACATTTACACTGGCTCCAGCCCTGGACCAGACTCAAACATTTACACTGGCTCCAGCCCTGGACCAGACTCAAACATTTACACTGGCTCCAGCCCTGGACCAGACTCAAACATTTACACTGGCTCCAACCCTGGACCAGACTCAAACATTTACACTGGCTCCAACCCTGGACCAGACTCAAACATTTACACTGGCTCCAACCCTGGACCAGACTAAAACATTTACACTGGCTCCAGCCTCCAGCCCTGGACCAGACTCAAACAATTACACTGGCTCCAACCCTGGACCAGACTCAAACATTTACACTGGCTTCAGCCCTGGACCAGACTCAAACATTTACACGGGCTCCAGCCTCCAGATCTGGACCAGACTCAAACATTTACACTGGCTCCAACCCTGGACCAGACTCAAACATTTATACTGGCTCCAGCCCTGGACCAGACTCAAACATTTACACTGGCTCCAACCCTCGACCAGACTCAAACATTTATACTGGCTCCAGCCTCCAGCCCTGGACCAGACTCAAACATTTACACTGGCTTCAGCCCTGGACCAGACTCAAACATTTACACTGGCTCCAACCCTGGACCAGACTCAAACATTTACACTGGCTCCAACCCTGGACCAGACTCAAACATTTACACTGGCTCCAGCCCTGGACCAGACTAAAACATTTACACTGGATCCAGCCTCTAGCCCTGGACCAGACTCAAACATTTACACTGGCTCCAGCCCTGGACGAGACTCAAACATTTACACTGGCTCCAGCCCTGGACCAGACTCAAACATTAACACTGGCTCCAGCCTCTAGCCCTGGACCAGACTCAAACATTTACACTGGCTCCAGTCCTGGACCAGACTCAAACATTAACACTGGCTCCAGCCCTGGACCAGACTCAAACATTTACACTGGCTCCAGCCCTGGACAAGACTCAAACATTTACACTGGCTCCAGCCTCCAGCCCTGGACCAGACTCGAACATTTACACTGGCTCCAACCCTGGACCAGACTCAAACATTTACACTGGCTCCAACCCTGGACCAGACTCAAACATTTACACTGGCTCCAACCCTGCACCAGACTAAAACATTTACACTGGCTCCAGCCTCCAGCCCTGGACCCGACTCAAACATTTACACTGGCTCCAACCCTGGACCAGACTAAAACATTTACACTGGCTCCAGCCTCCAGCCCTGGACCAGACTCAAACAATTACACTGGCTCCAACCCTGGACCAGACTCAAACATTTACACTGACTCCACCCTCCAGCCCTGGACCAGACTCAAACATTCACACTGGCTCCAACCCTGGACCAGACTCAAACATTTACACTGGCTCCAACCCTGGACCAGACTAAAACATTTACACTGGCTCCAGCCTCCAGCCCTGGACCAGACTCAAACATTTACACTGGCTCCAACCCTCGACCAGACTCAAAC